TGGCATCTTTTGCTGGATGAAGTCATTCCTTTCATTGAGGAGGTCACTCAAACCCAACTGACCAGTTGTTCATGAAACAGGAGTTACTGGTTGCTAGGGTCAGTGTGGTAGGAAACCACCTCCATACCTACTGACCTCCCTTCAGAGTGCAGGTTATATATATACTCGTGTGTATATACTTCCTTATCACCTGCAACAAACCTCTATCTGGGCTCAATCTGCTCTTGGTTTACTAAGAAAGATTGCCGGGGGTTATCAGACTCACTCTGATATGCACAGATAAGGGCCTTGGGCTGGCTGTTTAAACACCTGGGGCCTGGGGTATTAGAGCGCCCTGCGTTCCCCTCGCCACAAAAGAAGAGGAAATGGAGGAGTGAGCGCTGGCTGCTGCTTCGGGGGGGGGGGGGGGGGATAAGGCATGTGGAAAGCGTGCGTGCGTGCGTCGGCGGTTAATGCAGAGGTGATTACTGCCACCGCTCACACGCCCGACCAGACGCCCCGATGCCACCTTCAGCTATAACCCAGAGGAAAGACACCTGACGAGGAATTTGCTGTTTGCTTAAATAAAACTCAGACATGTAGAAGTGTCATTTATCGGCTTGTTTAAAGGCGATGTGCTGGACGGTCTCTTTTCACTCATGGGATGTACGCTACAGCAAGGGCCAGGCATTTGCATGAGAATGGACGATTAAGTGAAAGAGATAAACCCAAGGCTACTTCCTGTGAGTCGGCTGCTGTGTCTGGAATGCCAAACAGAGGTCGGTTTTTCCCTTTTCCTACCCCACCTCCGCAGAATTAACCTCCTGCATCATGAATTTCTTTACTCAATAATCGCCCCGGCCCTTCCAGTGTTGATTACTCTCTCAGTGCAAGGGTTACTAAAATATAGCAGTAATCCCGTCTGCCTGAAGCCCCGACAATGAGCAATCTGAGCTCGCCTAAAGAAATAAATCTGTGGCTTGTCAGCGGGGCGGTGATGTGGTGGCGTGCTGGAGGGCAGGAGGAAGGAAAAGTTGTGGTCCGATGGTGAGACCCTTCATTTGTGCAATTCTTTAAAGGTTTCTGAACATTACACCTGGCTGTGAGTGACTAAGTCTCTAAATACATGTGAGGATGAAACTCCAAGGTTTAGTCTCAAAAACAATCCATGGCTGGTCTTCTATTTAAACGAGAAGCAGCAGCTCTCTAGTGATGAAATAATGTAAAAACAAGCAGGAGGTTCATTTCTGCTGAAATGTGAAAGGTGAATGTTTTCGTCCATCTGTGTTTCTTAGCGAAACATTTCATGAATCACTCAACAAAGTTTAATAAAACTTCCAGAAAGTAAACAACGGATGGAGATCTTGAACTGATTAACCTTCGGGGCCAATCTAATCCCACATTGCTGCTCCAGCTAATCTTAGCCTTGAGCTAAACGTTGGTACGGTCGTGCCTGTAGAGCGTTTCCAACCACAACAGCAAGTTCTACACCATGAATGTCACACGCAGCCAAAAACTGCTGTGGACTATTAGACATATTTAATTAAAACTCCTGTATTTATCACACATAGATCTACCACCGGGAATCTTAACCAAAGCAAAATGGCTACAACTGGTCAGCTTTACAGATATAGGACAACATTTCACATCGTAAAGCTCATTCCCACCATCGAAGCTTCTGGATTATTTTACCGGACCTTTGCAGTTTGTATGCATCTCCATTTCACCAGCACGTCCCTAAAGGACGGTTTTATGGTCCGTTTCAGGAAGGAACTGCGTACCTAAACTTGGGTCTGTACTCGGAAAAGACCCGGTGGAGTCGCGGGGCGGTACTAGTGGCCAGGTCACGCTGACTGGTTGTAACTCTGGGGGTAAATAGATCAGCAGACGTTGCCAAACAACCGGAATGGAAAGGAGAATGGTGGCAAAAGAAGATAAGCAACATTCATGCTGCTTTAAAATTGTAGTTTCTGAACTAAGTCAAGAAAATGTGGTGGAAAGTTCCGCCCACAGCGCCATAATTCACGGTGTCCTGTTATCTCATGATCATTGATCGCTGCATTTTACATCACATAGCCGCTCTCCCCATCCCCCAAATGGATTAAAATACAGCGCTTTAAAAAAAAAAAAACTTTGAACTGCCTTTTAAGGCTGACCAGTAACGTCGCCCAATGCTGAAATGGTCACGATGTGCTGATGTCTTAAAGTCCTGAATTAGCTGGCTTCATATGGAGACACAACGACTTCCCTTCACCTTCCCCTCTCCCACAAATTTCCCAGAACTCAGAGTGGAAACCCAGCTATAGCATCCGACAGACATTCCCATTACACGTGCGGCGTGCTAGTGGATAATGCAAGGTCTCGCAATGTTGCAGAGGATCATACATGGTTTAGGATTTGACTAAAGGTTCAGTCCTCTCTCCACTTGTGATCATCTAACGTTAAAAGTCAGGCGTGAAAGAGCAGAATTTTGTCTTTAAAGAGCAAGTCACCCCCAAATCAACTTATTTTTCTGATAAACTAAATAAATGTGTGTGTAATTGTGCTGCAGACGCGTGTAGTCAATAGTTTTGCACTTTAGTGCATTTTGGTTCAAATTTATTGTTCTGCCTAAAACTGGCAGTGTTGCGCCGTCGTCAGGTAAAAACTCTGCACTGCAGTTGAATTTAAATCTGCCATCGCTATTGGCTAAGAGGTACCCTAGAACGTTAGCGGGTACCATATGATGTCACAATGTCTGTGTGTGCATGTTTGTGTGTGTTTGTTAGCGGCTCCGCCCCCTCGGTCTGCCAGGCAACAGCATTTGTTGCATTTTTCAAACAGGAAGTGGGAGTGGAGCAATTCTCTGGTAGGGGGTGACTTGCTCTTAGGTAAAACTTAGACCTGGACGCCCGTGAGCAGCGTCTGACACAACAGAGCCAGCGTGTGAGATGGGTGTGGTGTTTGTTATGACACAACCCAGAACCCAGAGGAATGGAGGGGCAGATTTAGACAGGAAATGGGCATTTTCTGGTGCATTCATTGCAACACTGAAGCGCACACACGCACGCACGCACGCACGCACGCACGCGCACACACACACACACACACACACACACACACACACACACACACACCTCAAAACAGTGACCTGTGCCACATCTGGAAACAATTACACTCGTGTTTGACTTGACCTGCCTGCACTAGTTTGAACTCTGCCAACTTTTTATGTGCTTGTTGCCGGAGCAGAGCTGACCCTGACACAGAGGCTGAGAAGGGCTGATGTGTAATTAGTCAGACGCAACACAACTCCACTTGTCTGAAATAAACCTTCATGAATGCACATCAGAAGAGCGAGCAGCCTGACGGGACGTATGCAGGCGGAAAAAAGGAAAAGTATTGAGTTGATATGCTATCGGATGACCCGCAGAGGAATTTGTGAGGACATGATGAGCGTTTGAATTATCGAGCATCTCTGACTAGCACAGCAGAGCTTTCATTTGCAGGCGGCAAAGCTGACTGCGGATGATGCAATGTTTGATTTCTACACTTCAGGAGGCTGTCAGGACAGCGCATGCAATATTAAACAGTGTCGTGTCGGTGTATCAGCCGGTCTGAATTAAGCCATTAGTATGCTGTGGGGCAACGCGGGAAGATCAATGCATGAAACCGTTTGGAAATCTCCTTTGATACAAGATTTCCCAGCTTGAGTGAATTGATGAAATTCCTCTTGAAACACAGGCAACCGTTTCACACGCCAGACTAATGCAGCTCCTCTCCCACATGAAGACCACGGTGTCGTTTTAAACCGTTGTGCATCCAGATAATTGATTGAAAGCAACTCAGAATTCACCTTTTCCTCCTAAAACAACACCGCATCGATCTCTGTTTACACAATGAACAACGGGCACTTTTTCTGAAGGCCACGCAGACGTAGCACGCTCAGGAGTAAAGTGCCAACGCCACAAAGTAACAGGCTTCATCGTGGTGTAGAAACACGACACGGCTCTGCTGCGAACAAGGACACCTCTCTCACGAGTAAAAGCTCTCCTGTAGCATTCAGGGTTTCCCTCAAAACAACGCTGAACACAGGCGAGCCGGGACCGAGCCGGGACCGGGCCGGGACCGAGCCGGTTCAGCTGTAAACCGAGACGCGGGCCTCCAGAATGGTGAGACTGCCAGAGGTTCAGTGGAGTTTAAAATCCTCATGTGAACTTTAGCCAGAGTGCATTCCTATTGATTTAAGCAAACATTACAGCGTGAGAATGTGGCCTTGAAGGTAAGAAGCAGGCCTTGGTTTGAGAAACAAAACAAAACAAACAGCCAGACGGGGCAAAATCCACAGGATAAGTGATGCAGCTTCGCCGTATGGAGAGCAAGAACTCCGGCTGATTTAGCCACATCTACAACAGATCATCGGTTTTCCAACACGTACTACTGATGTGAATCAGCTGAAACCAGCTGATTAAAACTGCATTACCACGCTTCGGTCCTGGAACTACCTCCTGGTCTCAGGACCCGGGTTCAGCTCTCATTTCCTGAGCAGACCATCTAGTCCAGTTATTAAGCACATAAATGTCCCCCTGTGTGGTTCTGGGAGAGGGGGAGGGCGTCAAGCCCTGGATGAGGGGGTTACACATTGCTAAGTGTGTGTGAAGACCGCTGCCCACACACTGGAAGGTGTGACTAATGGTCTCGGACAATGTTGAGACAGCAGTGCTTCGGCAGTCACCCGGGCCGGTTCCTGGAGGAGTGACTCTGCTGGAACGGAGCTGTCAGCCGCGCCACACGGCCGCGTGCGTGGCTGTAGAGGAGCACCGAGTGTTCAGACGGAGCTCGTTAGATACGTGGAGCGGTAACTTAGTTAGCCGTCAAAGAGGCGGGCATCAAACGAGTGACATCATCACAAATAAGGCTAACTTTTTCTAAGCTACTTCCACTAAATTCAGTAAATCATGTCAACAGGAAGTCAGTCGCTGGCATCATGTTGACTACATCTGAAAGAGAAACCAGCTAGGAAACGGACTCTGGAGGTGGCTTACCTGTGCTGCTCCACAGCTTCATTATCAGGTAGCTCTGCACCACAAACGTTGCACCGTTCATGCTGGTTCCTGCCATCTGGCTTCATGCCCACTGCCAGCTCCCCCAGCTTGCTGAAGAATTCTCTCTGAATGAAACTCTGAGGCAGGAGACCCCCATAGGTGCTAAAGTCCATGGACATGGCTAGGGCCGGGGACATGGGGAGGGCAGAGGCCATCGATACTGGCATGGACATCATGGCATCTGATTTATGATTGACGGGTAGGGAATACAACGAGGCCAGGTGTTTTTCTGTCATCCCTGCCATCGCTTCCAGCCCCATCTGGCTCACTTCAGCTTGCTGGTCGCCCATGGCCTCGTCACGGACGTAGTGCAGCTCCCGAGCACTGGTGATCACGCTGCTCCTGGTGGGCGTGCCTGGACCGTCGCGGTTTCTGTCCTCCCCGCTCCGCTCTCCGTTGCTGGAGGCACTAGACTCCATGTTTTGAGGGCTTTCGTGGCCGTTGCCACCCACGTCCACCTGCATTGTTTCAGTCTTGATTTCAGTCATGAGGTGGTGGGAGCTGCCATGGATGAGCTGCTCCCCGCCGAAGCCCTGCTGCAGCAGAGACTGACCGATGCTCATCAGACTGTCCACAGCAGCCTTGGTGGGACTCAGGTTGGAGACATGGAAGGAAGTGGATACGGACGGGCTCTGGTCAACGATACCCGTCATGTTGGAGACGTGTTGGGCACCTGGCAGATAGTGACTCTCCATGGAATGCTTCTTGGAGAGTTTGGCTCCATTTTGGCCTTTGCGCTCCTCATCCTCCTCTGTGCTGCCATCGTTAGCACTGACCTCCACATCATTCTCATCTGAGGACTGGATGGTTTCCAGGATTTTGAGGCATTGTTCTTCTAAGTACTCAATCTCTAAGATCTCTGCTGCATACAGCAGGTCATCCAAGTCCTCCACCTTGGCCTGGAGCGTGGCCGTGTAGGCATACTCCAAAATCTGCTGGAAAGTCTTTGGCGAAAGAAAGTCCAGGGTGTAATGCTGGCTGCTGCGGTGGAAGAGGATTTCAAACATTTTGCTGGTGCAGGCTAGCACGGTCCGGTGAGCGTGGAACTCCTGGCTGTCGACCATGATGACGACGTCACACAGAGTCCCGGCCAGACGCATCTGGTTGGCCTTCTGCAGCAGGGCAGTGGGATGGTTGGGGTTCTGGAGCTGGATCATACCCATTCTAGTTAAATCCATGATGTCGATGCAGTCCACGAGGCCGACTCATGAGGCTTGCTGTCCCCGCTCAGGAGAGTCTTTAGCCGTGTAAACAAGTTGAAACCTGACCAGAAAAGCAGAAAATAATCACGACACAAAAAATGTCTATTTAAAGGAAAACCATTCGTGTTTAAAGTCAACAAGTGTTGCCAATTTGTCATATTTGCAGAACCATCAGCTCAATTACCGGTTATAGAATATGTGTATTTATTTAACCATGAAAGGATCCGGTTTATTATGTAAACGGGAAAAACGGGAAGCCGCTGGAGTCTCAAATTGCAAATATCCTGCAGGGCTGGTAAACAATCTGTGCAGCGGCATTGTTCTGGAGACCAGCGCCGAGTATTGACAGGATTTTCTGAAGGGAGACGATTTGTTAGCTGTCCAACAGGCTCATCCTGCATACCAATCAACCTGACATATGTTACGTTAAAAGATGTCTTCGTTTGCTTATCTGACGGGGACGTGCAGTTAAACAAGGGAGCATTGTGGGCTTTCACTGCTGCTTGGCTCGCAGGGACCGTCAGCAGCCTTCCCAACATTAAATAGCATCTTACTCAGTATTCCCATCACAGACGGGAGCAGAGAGCAGCAGCCAGACAGGGGTGGAAGAGAAAAGCAGGATGAGGCAAAAAGCACTGCTGCACTTAAACGCTCCGCTCGGCTCTCAGCCGCTGAAATCTCAAATGAATGAACATCTCTGTGGCTGCTGGTGATTTCATTATTCACGTTAACAGGGCAACGTGTTGCTCCACCTCATTACTGGAGCGCGTCTGACCCGCGCCAGATAAACCAGGACAGGTTCAGACTGAATTAGCAGAACGTGGACGTAAAACATAGACGCCTCTGGCTGCTTCTGGTTTAGTCTGGTTTAATGGTCTGCCCCACCGGAGGAAGAAAGCATGAATGCTGGTTAACCACCTCAACTGACCCACATTCTGGGTGAACTCACTGATTCAGTCAGCTTCATGAGCAATGACAGAAACTTTTCAGCAGTTTTTAGTCAAAAAAGAAACGTGCAAATGCATCCTCAGCGTTTTAAAGCTGACTGCAATTTACATGGAAATTCTGTCATTTTTCTTGTTTCCTCGCTCTGGCGCAGGAGACCATGGACGTAATCAGGTTTATGACCGGGTCCATCTTAAAAAGTGACTGGGTCCCAGTTGGTTTGGAGAAAAAAAATGAGTATCATCAGATAAAATCATCAAGGTATCAGCCTTAGAAATCAGAATCGGTGTATTTCATCTTTAACTTTAACACTTTAGAGCAGGATTTTACAAGTGCTTAATGTCATGATGAGAGTATCATAAAATATGCAGAAAAATAAAATATATAAGTTGAATTATTGCTTGAAACATAAAAACTTGGGAGAAAAATGACTACAAACCTGTCATTTTCTACTCAGAGCTGCAAGTTTAGATTAGAAAAAGCATCAGGCTAACCAAATAAATAAAAACCACTAATGATGAGCCCACAGGTCCCCATCTAACCGAGATCAGCCCCTTCACGCCTCCAGCACCACATTATCATCAGTAATGTTTGTGTCCCTGAACGTGATCGGTGCTTGTTGCGCGCATCGGAGCAGCCCAAACTTCCCATTCAGGCACTTGTGTCTGCTCTCCATTAATAGAGAGGAGCGTCTAGACAGCGCGCGGATGTTGGGCCAGCCGCTGCAGACCCATTCTACACGAGCATTACGCAAATCAGCAGACTACATTAAGTACATTAAGCCGGTGGAGATGGTGTCCCGCGAGGACAACGAGCAAATAAAGAGACTTCAGAGAGAGAGAGAGAGAGAGAGAGAGAGAGAGAGAGAGAGAGAGAGAGAGAGAGAGAGAGAGAGAGAGAGAGAGAGAGAGAGAGAGAAGCATCGGAATCGATCTGATCACGAGCTGTCTGCCGTCGCGCGCACTGACGAGCCGCAGCCACAACAAGAATAAACAGCGTTCAATAATCCAGCGCGAGAGCCGCACGGACGGACCCCAGGCGCGGGAGCGTTGTTATGGTCTGGTGGTGGGGGGTGTGGTGGTCCTAAACGTGCACGCGAGCCTGGTTCCGGTCCGATCTGCGTGCAGGTGGCAGCTCCACATCTCGGTGAGGATGTGAAGGAGTGAAAGGGGAAGAGGAGGATCAGACACATTCGATAACAAATCCATTTGAATCTGTTACCAGCGCGCGCGCGCGCGGCGCGTGCAGCTCGATTATTGGGAACTAATCAAACATGTAGTTAGCTGTCAGTCAATCCCGCTCTGACAGCGCAGTCACGCTGGTTTGGTGCAACTGTCTCGAGCCGCCGTGATGTCACACCGCGGATTAATAAGAGGGGATAGGAATGGGACGTCACGCGCGCTTTACCGCTGCCATCGGTCCGTGGAAGGGACACGCAGCGCGGCGTCACGAGCCGCCTGGCTCCCGGTGAACACAGCCAGACCTCACGTCCTCTCGCCGCTCTCCAGAATACTAACCAGACAGGAGCGCGAGGAGGGGGCTTACGTCAACCCTAGCGCCTCCGCAATAGGCTGCCGTGCGTTAATGCAAACTTTAACACCTTGCAGCGCAATCAGGTAAACACTTGTTTTCAGCCGGGACTCGCTCAGGCGCGCGCGACCCACTGCCAAGTCGCTGGTAACTTCAGCACGAAAACGCACGTGAAACCGGAAGGTCAGCCGAGGACGAGCGCAACAAACGCACCCAAAACATCCATATGGTGAATGAAAGTCCGCTAAATGAAGCACACGCGCGCGCAGGAGCGAGCCCGGCACTTGTCTCCGGGAAGCGGCAGCCGCGTGTCCGGTGTCGGTACTCACCTAAGTTGCAGGTTTGGAGTCCGTGTGGCGCGCGGGGGACTGGGGCTACAGCATAGTAAGGCAGTTCGCAGTACCCGCTCTCTCAACACGCACTAACTCCTTTCTTCTCTCGCCTTAGCGAATCAACACGCCGCTGACGTCAACGCAGCCAGACGAGCAGCAGGCGGGCGGGCGGCCGCCGCGGCGCTCCAGTCCGAGCAGAGAGAAAGTGAGACACCTAGGGGACTGTCTCCGGCCAAACGGGCGTGTTACTGGAGGCCAGGGAGAGGTGAGACGCGTCCTCGCCCACAGGAGCTGGGCTGAAGCTCCACAGGGACGGAGCTGGGCTTTAGAGGACCTCAGGGGTTCAGGAGTCACACCCCAACAAGTCCTGCTCACCACCTCCAGACTGGTTCCGACACAAAACCAAGAACTATCTGATCGTTTGAATCATTTCAGAATTCTGCTTTTCTAAATGTTTGGATTTGATGTATTTTTGATTCAATCAACTCTGTCTGAGGTCCGAGTTTGGCCGTCCTTCCGTCCCTGTTCTGCCTCAGTTTTCTTTTCCCAAAACTATTTTCAAAGAGCCAAAATAAAGTTTTGGATTATTTAAAATGTAGAAAATCCCTGCAAACCGGAGCACTCGGATATCGAAACTAAATATTTCTGATGGTTTCCTGTGAGCCATCAGACCTGACTCACTGACCTAACATCAGTGTCTAAGCTCTGTAATTAGGTGGGAAGTGTTTTATGGAAAATGGCCTGTGTTTAATCTGGCACCAGTCCCAGAACCTGAATCAGCCATTCACACATTCACAGCTGGTGATGATGCGCTACATTGTGGCTACAGCTGCCCTTGCCCAAGGACACAACAGCAGCACTCTTTGCCAGGAGCTGAGATCGATCCTGCAACACCGCCAACCCGCTCCACCTCCTGCTGCCTTCATGTCTGTATCCACTACCACCCAGATTTATTTCATTTTCAATTCAAATATTTAAATATTAACTGCAACACTTTTAGATTTAAGCTCAGGTCTGCTGCCCAAACTCAAACCGAGTTTTACTAAAATGCAATTTAACAAATTAAAAAATGACAGAAGACTAAATAAAGTGCAGGACGTGAATAAACACAACTGCTTTATGTATTTTAGCAAAAATAAACCTTTATTTTTTGCCTTTTTTACTCAATCATTTATGAACAGATGTATTTGGAAAACATGATCAAAGCTGGGGTCATTTTTATAAAACAAACTGAATGTGCTGTCAGGTTTCAGTAGCATTTCACAATAAAGACGTGCAACAATCCTGAAGAAACGTCCTAACAGCACAGAGTTGGTCGTGTTTGCACACACGAATAAAAGAGATGAAACAAGTAGGAACAACTTCCTTTTAGGGGGTCACACGCGGATCAAAGCCATCAACATCCAAATCTGTAAATAACAGTTGTACCTTCTCGGCTAAAGCTAAAAACCAACAACATGTTAAACAAAAATGTCAGAAAACACTCATGAAATACTCCGAGTTTTATAAAAGCAGCCTGACGGACAGAAGGATCGTTCTGGAACGCATCACCTACCCCTGACTGCTTTATTCTTCATTTGCCTTTTGCTGTAGATGAATGAACAGAACGACTCACCTCATCGTTGTTTGGCCGGATAATCTCTTCCACTAAAAGCATACGTCGAAGCTTTTCTGGATGTAAACTTGACGGATGATTTTGTCTTAATGCTGACTCCAGACAGCCTCTTAGCTGTGGTGCGACTGGCCTCTCTTTTAATTCTTTTGAAATGTTGCGTTTAAAGGCTCCATGTGAGCTTCTACTCCCTTAAGTTCACAAACATTAAGGGAGGAGGAGGAAATATGGGCACAATGTGCACGTCATTTAGTTCCCTAGTGATCAGAATCCATCCTCCTTAGATCACATAGTTTCTCTGACTCCTTGTTTTTAGCTGATGCAACTATGTTTGTTGTTGTTTTTGTGCCAAGCTTAAATCTCAGGCACCGTGCACAGCCAACGCACGCTGATCACTAGTTAAAGTTGAGGTTTGTCGGGTTTAATCGCCACAATGAGGATGCATTTGCAAATCTAAGCCAAACAAACAATTGTGGAATGGTGAAAGAGTTCCGTTTGCACCTCACAGGGAGGGAGTGCCTGGTCATCCAGGTTGATGAGTTTAGTCACCTTTGCGCCTCCGGCTCACATCAACACCCCCCTGAATGAGG